GAGGGGAGGGGAGGGGAAAGTAATGTGCAGCCAACGTATTATTTGGGCGGATGTCAAAACTGTTAAGGGGATCCACTGGTCAGATCAGTACAAATTTTGAAAAACATATCAATTTTCGGATTTTGGAGTATCTTAATAGATATATCAATATCAAGGATCCATCTTTAGAAGCCTAATTCCTTTATCAAACTTATAAATATAGCTGGAAAACGCATTTGAGAGAGGTAGCAATGTAGGAAAATCTTCACAAAAATGTATCTCTCTTTGCAGTTTTCTCAGAATTGTTTATCTGACCAGGTTGCAACACTATATTGAGTAGATCTCAGAAAGTTACTGTCAGAATTGTTTCAAATTTGCACACAATCTTTTATACACATTTCGCTATAACATTACAGGGGCATTTTTGCTGTTTATGGAACATATTTTGAGTTTTAGGCCTTTTTTTATTTTACACAATTTAAAAATATTGGAGACCTGAATGTAGTGCATAACAAGGACTGTAAAGCTCACAAGTTAGTACAGAAAATTCAAATTTGGCCCTGTAAGGTTATAATTCTACCTACCAACAGTAATCGCCATGCCAAATATTAGGCTTCTATCTTGACGAGTGTTGATGATTGACAAAATATAAAATTGGTTTTAAAAATGCTGAATCAATCCTTTATTTTTGATGGCTCGAGATGATTGTGGCTGAAATCTTGAATTTTTTGCTTGGTAACCTTTTTTTGTACTATGTTACCCCCTTTGATGCAGAAAAGCAAGCTTTAGACCAAAAACTATAGCATTTGGATGTTGACCATAGCTACACCCCCTTAATGAACGACGAGTTAATTAAAGGAGATGATGATGTTTCGATTTGTCTGTGTTCTATACAAAAACATAAATGTAATATCTAATGTCAAATATTCAGTAATACATTTCTTTTATTGTTCTTTTATGCAGATGTATTAAGATCCAAATCGATATGATTTACATCATTTAGGAGGCGGGCTTCGACCTGCTGTCAGGGCCAACGCTGGCTGAAAATGCTACAACGTTCCAGAAGAAAGAGAAACGGTGCAAATTATCCCTGCACGGGAATCGACCTCCAGTCCGTTGCGTGCGATGGCGAAGCACCTAACAATTAAAGCGGTTTTTAATTCTGCCATTAAAAAAGATACACGTACATGTAGCTCTCTTATCTTAACCGCGAGTCGTAAGCTTTATCTAAAAAAAACAACCCCACCAGCAACAAACAAACAAAGCGCAGGGGAATCTTTGTGCAAGGTTGATAAACCTCTTTGGCAATTCAGAAGATGTATTTAAATTTCAATTCTTAAATCAGAATTCGACAGATTTGTCTCAGATACTCACCAAACAGTAAAAAAAAAGTCCCCTTCAGGTTTCGGCCTCTCTGTTGTTTAAGATCGATCGGTTTCAAGAAAAATCGTTGAAAAATATACATCAACACAGCAATAATTAATTATCACTTGCTACGGACAGGATACAACCAATAGGTTGCCTTGCCTCTTTCCCTCGAAGTTTCAGAAAGTAAAAAAATTGCCGCCGAGTTGAGACTTTTGTAGCGCGGGAAGTAAATTGTGGACGTTACAGCTCACAGAAAACCAGACGGGATTCAGACAAAACCGTTCGAGTTTATAACAAACAAGAACTGAATTTCAGCACACCTGCAGATCTGTTCTCTGTTCACGGTTTATATACCTCCACCCAAGTGCCAAGTACCAGTCTGGCGTCTCTTGTCCAGGAAGACAAAGCTAAAAATAAATACAATGTACATTTACCGCCCCGGTTCCTCGTCCTACGTAATATAATAACTCCCTCGCAATTTGCCCTCTGACCTCAGCCACTATGCACAGGCAGAAACATGATATGATAAACAAGATGTGATTCTCCAAACCGGTGTGATACCGCATAATGATTAATCCGTGTCTTTGGAGAGAAGAGAAGAAGGGAAAAGTTCCAGTGACTTGTACGGGAAATAAGGCAAGAGAGAAGGGTTTTCCTAATTTATCAGCATCCCGGAATTCCATGTTGTGCCCATATATTTATATTATACATGTATTATTGTATCCAAGATTGCGCACTCCAACGTAATTCCGGTTCACCGTGAAACGCACTGTATTATTTTGACTCTGTTGTAAACTGCAGATGAGTTTATGTCGTCAGGGGAGTGAAAAAACAAACAAACAAATACCGCTCCCCCATACACACACAAAACGGGAAAAAATCTTCTGAAGTTCAACTTAACAGTCGGTCGGGACCTGTAAAGAGGAAGAAATGCCGCCCCCC